CCTGATTCTTATCTTACCACCATCATTATTTGCACCACTGAACTTTCCCAAAGAAGCCAAAATCCCCTCCCCGCCTCTATCGTAGGAAAAGCTACAACAACACAGTCTTTACTCCTTGTATCGGCTTGGGGAGATTTCCCCCTCTTTTTCCCCCCTCTAATCTCCTCCCTAGCTTCTGTTCCAGGCCTCTTCTCTTTCTTTTCCTGTTTCGCTCTCTCCTTCCCTTTTTTAACTTCTCACCTTCTCCCTTCGCACTCTAATCCTCAGCTCAAGCAGAGAACGGGATTCAAAGAAGCATCAGTGGCTGATCTTTATCCCCCTCTGCTCCCCCCCCCCACCCAACGAAGGGCTTTAAGGAATTGAACAGAAAGTGTTCACCGAGGCAGCCATTTTCAGAGAGGAAAGTAGGTCCTGCTGGGCCAGCTCCGGGTTTGCTTAACCTCCCCCTCCCTCCTCCTCCTTCTATGCAAAGGGAGGGTGGGATCCCGGAGTTAGGGACTTGTCCCTCCTCTTTTGCCCCGTTTCTCACTATACTTCTTCTCCCCTTTGGACAGGAAGGGACTAGCTTAGGCGTGATCCAGTTTTAGACCCTTGCCTTTTTCTCGAGATGGTGGGATGCCGCGAAAAAGGAAGGAACCGAGTACTTATTTTGTGTTGGAACCTCGATGGCGGAAGGACACGCAGAAATGGCTTTGGGGAAGTGAGAAATACGTCCGTACGGAGCCTCAGCGCACGCTCTGCTGGCGAATCACTTCGCCGCTTTTAACCCTCCGATGCCTGGGCCGGGTGGTTACAAAAGCACGTGGGATGGGTTCAGAGGTCCCTTCCTCCTTTCTCCACCCTGTCCGCGGCTGCCAGAGGACCGGGACAGGTGCACCTCTCGCAAGAGGCGGCCGCGCTGCCTTTTCCTCCTTGCCGCCGCGAAGGATGTCCAAGAAGGAAGAATAAAAGGGAAGACTCGGGGCGCTTTGGCCCAAGCCGAGGATGAAAGGCTCCTGCCAAGCCCCAGAGGGGGCGCTCCCTAGCTCAGGCGCCTGCCGCCGGGACTCCGGCTATGCGAGGTCCCACTGCGCCATCCAGCGGCCTGAGCTTTCAGCTCTCCCCGGGAATATTTGGGGGCATTGGGTGGGTTTGGGGTTTGTTGTTGGAACAGCTTATGCTCTTTGGAAAGGACATCGATTTGTTCAGCGCCTCTCAGAGGAAACTGACCCACCTCGGTCGGAGTATTGGTCTTGGTTGCCCAGCTCTGAAGAGGATGCCAGCGTAGGAAGCTACCTTAGATTGAATCAAAGCACTGGCCCCGTCTAGGTCAGTATTTGGACGCTGACTGGTCGAGGCTCCCCAGAGTTTCCATTTTGACCAATTCTCCCTCGGGTTCAGTCTGCGATTTCTACATGGAAAGCGTGTGCTTTTACACTGCTGCAAAGTTCTCTTTGGGGGGGGGTGTAGTGTATACATGTATTTGGGCGGTGCAGTGTTCTGGATTGAACTCCAAAAGAGCGCAGGAGGGTGCAGACATTAAACATGGCCCCTAATTGTAACTCCTTAATGCAGCCATGCGCTTTCCCAGAGGGCAGCCACTCAACCCCAGAAAAAGACATGGCTGCTTTCAAGAGTTGCAGACACATTTATGGGGTCCTTGCTCATTCTAAAGCCTCTTTTCCTAATTTCCAAAGTACTGCACACTCCTAATGTTAATATTAGAGGCTAATACAGTCTCTGGGAACTGACCTCCAAAAGTGTTCCTCCCCCATTCATATCCAGTCTTCAACATCACAGTGCACTGGAATGCCTTTGTTTTGCATATGCTGCCGCTGTGAAGTAATTGGATCTTTTGGTAAATGGCTCATTTGGGTTCTCCCTCAAAACCTACTACTATTGATTAGCTTCAGCCTTTTGGTTCTGGGTATTTTAAAATGAAAATATTATGAAGTGTTAGAAAATGGGGGTTGTAATTTTCAGACATTTCATTTCGAATAAGGGATTGTGGAAAGGGATGTTTGGCCTTGTTCATGCAACATTCTAACCTGTGGCTTGTTTTAATCAGTACTGAAAAACATACAATAAGCTTCATTCATAAAACATACTTTGTGGATTTATCTTTTTTATTTTTTGGATACTGTACATGTTTCTGATCATTTGGTTTTATATAAGTTAATGTGATGGTTCTGTTTGCCATCCTGAGGTGGAATATAAATATGGAGAGTGAATAAAAGTTTGACTGTGCCTTGGCTATCTTTATTATTGTTAAATACCTTGAATGATACATATTTGACAAAAAAGCTTACATTTTCTAAGTAACAAAAGCACAGGACTTATTTCTAACCACAAACAAAATGCATTATACAGTCCTAACAAAACTGAGTCAAGCTCACTCCCATATGCACAAATACGTAGTTTTATGCTTTAGGAATTTTCATATTGGATTACTGTAGCATTTGGCACAGAATTCCATTAAAGAATGTGTATGAATTTCAGTAGATTCATTTCTGGAATAAGGGAATGTGAATGTTATGGAAATCATAGAGTTGGAAAGGGACACTTAAGCATAATATTCTTGGAGCAATTAATGTCAGTCAACAAGTGGGCCACTGTATTTTGAACCAGCAGTTTCTTTCTTAAATGTACTTTTATTGTTGGGATAGTGAAATACAGAGGGGGAAAAAAGTCTACATTAGATAGTAACAGTAGAAGAAAACAGAAACATAAAAACATTATGGGAAAACTTTCTAATGACTCATTCTCCCCTTCCCTTCCGTTTGTTTTCCCAACAACTGACCACATCTGGATAGTTATGCTTTACATTGAAACTTGAAGATTATTGCTAGTATCTATTTAAGCCCTTTTATGTCTTATTTTTGATCGGTCTCGTAACTCTTTGCCTAGAAACCTTATTTGTCTAAATTTGTCTTGCTGTGTCATGTATAGTATATAACGGAACCATTCCTGCTTAAATTTGGTTAGGCTTATATTTTGGATACTATCCTATTATGGTTATACAAGGTATACCAAAAGTCAGACCCTATATGTTCTGTTAATTTTTTTTTCAGATAAAGTATTACTATACTGTAGTTAGGAATGTTGAAAGGTCATGCATCAAACAAGTAAGGAAGTGTTTAGAAGAAAATGGCAACCAATTCAAACATTTAATGTAATTTATAATAAATTGTCTATGGAACCTGACTTTTGGTAAACCCTGTTTACTGCCAATTTTGCATTGCTGCATATTTTCACATTTTGGTCTCCCATCAGCAAGGTTCCTCTTTTCCAATGTTGTACCATATTTGTCCTTGCAGTTGTCAGTATATATCTTAATAAACCGTGTTTCTCATTTATGTTTTCTGGAATTATACCTCATAAAATATTTGTGGTTCCAGTTTAAATTTCATTTTGAGGATTTTCTGTATATTTTGATGTATTTCTTTCCAATACTTTTCAGTTTTTTTACATGACCACCACATATGATATGTTCTTCCTGTTATGGGATTCCCAACATTTATTGTTTATCGATCTTGGTGGATTTGTCTATATTGACAGAGTTATATACCACCTGTAAAACATTTTATATCAATTTGAACTGGCAGTTTCTGAGGGGTCTTCAAAAGCAACCCCATGTAGGGCGCATTGCAAAAGGCTAACCAAGTGGTATGAGTCACTAGCCCTTTCTTTTCAGATGCGAGGACTGAATAGGGTAAAATAGTGTTATTCTTTTGTCTCAGATGGGCTGGTCCTCCATTTTTGGAAATCCAGTATTATTATTATTTCCTTTGCATTTCATAGTGCTGGTGTTTTTTTAATTTGTAGTTATGCTTTTATTTCATTATAATTTCATTTTATTGTGGGATGTAAAGCCACTTGCTTTATATGTGTGTTTTTTATCCTAAAGAAGAATGGTGTGTGTCCCCCCCCCCCCCAATAATCAATAATTCCTCAAAAAAGGTTTCCTCATATATGAGACAGGACAGGTTTAGTGGTTAGAGTGATAGATTTGGACCAAATAACATGTTTTTGCAATGCTTAATAGTTCTGTATTATAGCTTATCTGTTATCCATGGCATTGGGTCCTTAAATAAAAGCCTCATACCAGCAAGAGCATGACACTTTACACTGATTCTGAATTTGCTTCTTGGAACTGATCCTAAAGTGGCAAGCATCAGCAGCAGCCAGGGTTTGACACTTCACTTCCCGTGTCACCAATATTTTGGTCCCTCATCAAGCAGATTAGTGTACTTCGTATACTACAGATTCTATCCATGCTGAGCTGACTATAGGCAGCTGGTCTCCCAAGGACAATGGGAATTCATCAAACTCAGTTTGTATCCAAAACTGAGCTGTATTTAGCCATGCAGCACACACACACACACACACACTCACTCACTCACTCCCAAAAGATCACTACCTCATCTTTGATCACAGCCTCTGGCCTTCAAATTCTTACATGGTTGTACCAAGCCCAGACTGCTCAGTCAGAGCCAGCCTCAGAGCTTAATTTAAAAACTTCGATTAGAATCAGTGGGATCTGCATCTGAGCATTTTTAGAATTAGGGGATAAGCATGGTGGTAATACTTAAAAAAAAAATGCATTTCCTGGAAGATGGCAACGGCAATCCACTTGCGTGTTGTTGCCAAGAAAACTACAGGAATGTGTCCATGAGGCATCAGGAGTTGAGCAACTCAAAGAAGACTTGCTTTATTTTATATGGCTGTTCCTATTAGCACTGTTGTCATTACAAGGTTGTGCTCCCTGAATATTATTTATATTGTTTACATTACTTTAGTCCTATTCAGTTCAATGAGATGGGCTTCTTGATTATGTGGATCAGATTAAGCTGCAACAACTCAAGCCATATATGCACGAGGCAACGAGATGTAAATATGGCTCAATGGGTTCCTTCAAAGGGCACCGGGCATTTTGAGGATATTAAAAATTAGAAATATCTAGAAATTATGGCTGAACAAG